TATATATATATATACCGAATAGTGCGGAAGTTAGGGGTTGTTCATCTGTTTCTGAAGCTGCCATTAAACGTTTGGGCCCCTTTGTCTTACAGTGATTTTGTCTTGATGTCATTTACAGCTATCCTTCATAGTCCTGCTGCTTTTTAAGAATTAAAAAAAAAAAAAAAAAACTGGTTGGATAATTTTTAAAACCTTACCTTTCCCTTGCAATGCCGCAATTATTTTTAACGCTCGATTTAGCACGAAAGAAATTAGATTTTCAAAGTTAAGTTGTAAAAGAAGAGGATTTATTTGTTTTTATCACTTCCAGACTTATTTGCTTTTTAAGTGAAAGTTAAATTATTAGGTTGAGGAACGTCTGGATCGTGAGGATCGAGTGACTCGAACATCTCGCTCTCGCAAGGTTGTTTTGTTTTGTTTTATTTTGTTTTTTGACTATATTTTGATCGTAAATTGGTTTTTAGTAGGCCTTAACTGAACACGCATCTTATTTTTTCAAATTCGTTGTTTTTTTAGCAGTTGGAGTTTCTGTGGTTTGAGGTTAAGTGAAAAACTTGTATAAATTCCTTTTGTGAAAACCAGGTGTAAACTTGTTACATTTTTATTTTCACTGCAACTGCCCAACTGTATTTCATATTGAAAAATTTTCATCTTTTTCAATTGTTTATCGAAAGTTAGATAAATGCATTGGTTTTTTAAACCTGTAAAGTTTTTCAGACTAGTAGCGAAATTGGTGCTAGTCATTCAACAACTCCTACATTACCGCCTACTGCGCCTTCAATTTCTAAGTCAGTGAACTTAATCGAAGGTCAAATTGTCGATTCAAACATTCCTCCCGTTGAGGAAGAGAAGACTGTTCCGGAAGTAGCAGCGAAAGCACCTTCGCTACCTGTGGAAGTACCGGTTAAGGAAGAGCAGTCTTTGCCTGTTGAGCTTTCACATAGCAGGAAAGTTCTTCCAGGAGCACCATTACTCACTCATTCCCAATCTTTGCCCCCCTTACCGAAACCACCCTTCAAAGAAAATGTAATTTCTTAATCTTTAAACAATAACTCCTTTTCTTTCAGTGCTTTTTTTTCGTAAATCTCGAAAAACAATTTCTTTAACGTTTAAGTGGTTTTTTACTAGATATATTGAATATTTTAAAACCTGTGATTTGTTCTACTCTGCTTCACCGTGTTAGTTTAACTTTTTTTTGATCTTCCGAAAGAAATTTTTTATGTGTGAGAAGCCGTTTGATGTCGTCAAGAGAAAAAAAAAAGAAATGTTTTAGTCTTTTCTTTTTTTAAATACGTAAAAATTTTTGTTGTACATATTTTTTTCAAAAAGCAGCATTATTTTATTCAGACGTATGAAACGCATGGGCCTGTTACTTCGTCTAAGCCACCTGTGAGAATGGTCTTCACCAATTCATCACTTAAGTCAAAGGCATATGGTGGCCGAAGTGAGTTTCGGAGCTTGTTTGATTGGCTTTTTTAAGGTTTCTTTTCAAGAAGAAAAGATTTTCAACGTGCAAGTTGGATACTTAGCTCATCAAACTTTAGGATCTGATAAAGGTAGAGAACGTTCCCATTATGGGTCAGGTTACCATCACGACGGTGTCGTTAAGCATGCTGCAGAAGCTCCTCAGCAAACTTATCCAGAAGGTGGCAGTAATGTGAGAGAGAACAGGCCAGGAAGAAGAGGTAGTGTCAGTTCCAGTGGTAAGGAAAAGCAGTTGTCTTTTGAGAAAGGCAGGAAAAGTACTGTTGTTTCGAAGCTTGTGGGAAATGTAGTGCAAACTTTAAAAGAGACTGACTCGAAACCGAAGGATATCTGTGTTAAAACTGAAGAAAATGATGCAAAAAGCGGTACGAAAGTTAAGGACGAAAGTAGTAAGAGCAAAAAGGAGAAAGCGGCTGTGAGTAAAGAGAAGAAGAAAGCAGTGAGTATCATGTTTTTGCAGTTTTACTTTATTCCGATTGAAATACGAAATCGTTTTTAGATCGTCCGGTGTTGAAATGTTGTTTTTAGGCATCATCAGGTAGAAACTCATTGGAACTTTCAAGATTGAAAGTCTAATTGTTGGTTTTAGAATTCCGCCAAAACAATGCCGAAATTGAACGCAAAACCACCAGTGGTTTCCATCACAAATAAGTTTGCAGCTTTATTGGAAACAAACGAGTGAGTAGAGAAGGGAAAGGGAAAATCCATAAGTAGCTTTTTTGTTCTTGCTGGGTTGTTTATTTGTTATGTTTTATGTGTTTCTGTTCTGATGTATTTCGAATCGAAGTCGGAATACGGATAATCTTTTTTATGTTACTTCGTACAGTTTATGTAAATACTATTAGATATAGGATTTTCTACCTTTACTAGTCATTTAATTATATTAGTTTAGCAGTTGAAGTAGTCATTCCTGGTGCGTCTTTGTGTTTTTTCTCAAAGTTTCCTACTTTTTATTCAAGCGAAATCGGAACTACTTATTGCATTTTGGGGTGAAAAGGGTAAAAAAACAAGTCTGATTGACGTGGTCTTTACTATATTTTATGGGATTCTGGTACATGTGTGATGTGTGGCGTAAGAAGAACTATTGTTTATGGAAAGGAAAAATAAATAATAATTTTCTTTACACAAAATGTTGTACATATTGATTAGGTAGGATAGATTTGATAGCGGATTCATTTTCGTTAGATGTGTTTTGTTGGTTACGAGTGGACCGAAGGCCTGGAGGTTTTACATTTAAAACTTCGGCTCTTTTCAAGGCAGGTCTTTAAGTCGATTAGTTTTTATCGGAATTTGAATCCGTTTCTCCTTGAAGATAGAAATTTTATTTGGCCTTGCCATTTGAAATTGTTTACTTGGAAGAAATTACCTGTTTTTTGTTCCTTTTGTTTCTGTTTTGATTTTTTGCTGCTTGTGTTGCTGATTCAGTTTTGTTCTTATTGGCAGTATATGGTATCATTTGAAGCGTAGTGAGTTTGGAATAGTTGTTTTGATCTGGAATTTTATTTTGGGTTCTGTCCTACCCTTCTCGGGTCGATTCCTTTATTTTTCGGTCTCGTGTTGGAAATACATTCTTTTCTTCTGTCTTCGTTTGCATGTTTACTTTTTCAGTGAAAGAAAGTCGTTGTTTGTTGTTTTACTCAGTTATCGTTTATTGAAGTTGTCTACTTGTTCTTATGAATAAATTGTGTAAGGTTAGTTGTTGCTGTGGAGAATATGACATGCATAAAATTTTCAGATAATTGGGACATTTGCTTTTTTTTAAGGGTGGGTGCTTAGCAGGTCGGCGAATCACACTGTAGAGTGCTCAAACTTTGGGGTTTCCTTGTGGTGACTGAAATGTTCTTAAGAGTGGCTCCATGTTGCCGTTACAATGGATGTGAAAGACAGGTTGAAGTGTCTGGACAAGCTTAGCGGTTTATTCTTTGCTGTTAAATCTTAGGTATTAGTTATTTTTGAGGTAGTTTATCACTTTGAAAATTGGGTACGTCGGAAAAGTGATAGGTTACTCTTTAAATGTTCTGATAGCAGTTCTCTCCTTTCGAAAGTTTCAGCTGAAACCGATCGATTATCGTGCCATTCGCTTAGCTGAAAGTTACCAAGTGGAAGTTTTTCTAATAATTGCCATTCGGTCATCAGTGATA